CTCCATGTCTGCCTCTCAGTTCAGGGCGAAGGCATCGTCCCCTCTTGCTGCCTGGCTGCTTTCCTTCTTCCCCATCCCCTGCCTGCAGCAACGCCTTGGAGCACAGGGAGAGGGGCAGGATGGGGCTGTGCAAGGGCCCTTCCGCAGAGGGATCGATGTCTGCCTGTGGCTCTCTTTGCACCGCAGCGGTCCCAGGGCCCTGTGGCACCCAGGGGTGCTCCCCTACCCGCAGCCTTTGCAGCACCTGCTTCTGTAGCTCCTTGGCATCTCCCTGGCATCTCCCGTAGCACCCGGAGCCAAACACAACACAAGCGGCGCCTGCTGCTTGCGGTGTGCAGCCCTCATGAGAAGGCAGCTCTGCTGCTTCACAGGAGCAGATGGGGACCCCCCCAGCTCTGCTCCTCCCAGCTCAGCTCCAGGACCCCCAAGACTCCCCCTTCCCCAGGCTGATGTGCATTTGGGGCTGGCACAGCTGCAGCCTGGCTGCTCCCCAGGGTGCTGCCATAGATGGCATTCACCCATTGCAATGAAAACTGCTTCTTGGGCCATGGCCATGGGTATGGGTGTCATGGGCAGTGATTGCTAAAGGCTCTGCTGGCACAAGCTCAGCCCCACCAGGCGGGTGCTGGAATTCCGGAGCAGGGGTGAGGCGGTCACAGAGGGATGCAGGATCAGCCCCCCCCACCATTGCCTGTTGACAGTTTTGCTCCCGTGAAGCATCTGTCCCTTCAGGCACAGCCTCTGCTGCTTGGCTTGGGATAGCAGGGCCTTTCATTGGGTCTTGCAGGGTGACGTGGAGCTCAGCATTGCCTGTCCAGGGGTCCCCAGTGATGTGTCCACGGAGCTGAACACCCTGGCTTGAGGGCTTGGGGGCAAGGAGGGTCCGTCCCTTCCCAGATGCCAGCCTTGGAGCACTGGTCTCCACCCAAAGCTATGGCTAAAGCTATTTTCACCCCTGTGCTGGGACACACGTGCCCTGCCTCAGTTTAGCACCCATGCACCGGGAGGCAGAGGTGCTCTGCTGCGGGACGGGAGGCAGAGCTGGTAGCGGGGATGGGGAAGTTTTGCTGTGCCTCCTCATCCCTCCCTGGGCTGTCATTAGCAGTGAGCTCAGCACTGGGCTGTGAAGCCACGCTACCCTGTTTCTCCCATGGGTGCTGCGGCTGGGCTGGCCCCAGGGTCCAGGAGGGACTGCCCAAAGCTTGAAGGGATTCACGGCGCTGGTGTTTGGCTTGAGCCGCCTGCCTGGGGGAGCCTAAACCAACAAACACTGCAGAGCAAAGGAACGTTTCCCTGCTTCTGCCTGGTCAAGCGGTTTCCTGTTTTCCAAGGAGCTCTTCCAGCAGCACTGGGGCAGAGGACTTGGCTGATCCCAGGGCAGACCCTCACCAGGAAGGCAAGTTCCTACTGCTTGACATCAGGCAGAGAAAGGTGTCACAAAAGACAGGCTCTAGGATCAGCTGCGACCTTTACCTGGAGGAGGGGACAGCATCACCCTCTTCCCCCCGGGGCTGAAAGCATCTTTCCCCTCCTTTGCTGAGCGTTGGCAGAGAGTCTGCCCCAAAAGCCAGCCTGTGTCTTCCCCTGCAGTGCCTGACCCATGCAGAAGAGACAGGCAGGGAAGATGCTGACACACTCTGTGTGTCACTGCTTGACTCGGTCCTGGCTCCTCATGGAAGACAGGATCCATCTGGGCCTCCTCGGGGTCCATCCTGGATCCTTACATGCTCAGCCATCCCCGACAGGGACAGGAACATAAACCAGGCCCTTGCAGGAACAGAGGCAGACACGGGGCTCAGACCCGGGCAGTGCTGCAGGATGCAGCCCATCACACAGCACATCCTCCCTGCCTGCAGGAGCAGGCAGCAGGGCCACAGGCTGCAGCACCGGAGTGACCCCCGAGCCCAGCTGAGGTGACTGCCATGTCTGGGAAGAGAGACCCACAGGAATGGGCAGGCAGAGCTGGAGATGGACTCTGGCAGGGGTGATGCCCACCAAGTGGGACGTGATCTGCTGCGGTGTCGTGGGACCATAGGACCCTGGAGCGGTTTATATTGAAGCTCATCCAGCTCCAACCCCTGCCACGGGGACACCTTCTACCAGAGCAGGCTGCTCCAAGCCCCTGTGTCCAACCTGGCCTTGATTTGTTCTCCAGTGCTGAAAGCCCCATGGTCCATCCTCTGCCTGGCAGTGAAGGTGCCCCTGCCCCAGGGCATCTGAGGACTCCTCGTGGCCCCAAAAGCAGAAGAAAAAGACCCAAACCTTGCAGTTTCTCAGCTTTTCCTTCAGATCTGGGGCACCCGCGGCTTCCAGCACCGTGGCTTTGCCACAGGGAGCGACAGAAATATCCCTGATACCTGGAGCTGGGTTAAAACGGACTCTGTGCGCTGGGGGAGCGGCACCCTGCGGGTCCCATCCGCTCTGCATTGCTGCCCTCTGGCTGCCTCCACGCATCCATGGCTGGAGGGATGGGACCTGCCCCGGCTGTCACAGGGTGAGATGCACCACAACTACAGCATCAAGGGCTTGGGTTGGTCTCACCTGCACATGCAACGTGTCTCCCGTGATGCTGGCAGCCCAGGACATGCCCTGCTGGGCTTAGGATTTCCTTGGTGGGATTCAGGGTGAGGCAGCTATGCTCAAGGGCTGCTAGGGGATAACAGGATATGGCAGTGGATTCACATTTGTAGGAGATAGCAAGGTTTTCCTGTGGGCTCTCCTGCCTTAAGATGCTTTAATAGAATGAGGAAAGCAACACGGGAAGCTCAAGAAAACCTGGCTTTCATTAAGAGATCTGACAGGGCTCAGCTCTATGGTTTGCTGAAGAAAAGAGGCCACCAGGGTAAGTATGCAGGTATCATAGAATCATGGAATGGTTTGTGTTGGGAGGGACCTTAAAGCTCATCCAGCTCCAACCCCTGCCATGGACAGGGACCCCTTCCACTAGATCAGCTTGCTCCAAGCCCCTGTGTCCAACCTGGCCTTGAACACTGCCAGGGATGGGGCAGCCACAGCTTCTCTGGGCACCCTGTGCCAGCGCCTCAGCACCCTCACAGGGAAGAGCTTCTGCCTAAGAGCTCAGCTCAGTCTCCCCCCTGGCAGGTTAAAGCCATTCCCCTTGGCCTGTCCCTACATCCCTTGTCCCAAGCCCCTCTCCAGCTTTCCTGCAGCCGCTTTAGGCACTGGAGCTGCTCTGAGTACAGCTGTATCTGCATGGAGATGCCACAACAGCAGCTGGGAACTGCAGGATCCAGGCTCTTGGGTAGCCTCTCCCTGTACCACTAGTTTCAGCCAACCCCAGCTCATCCCCACCTCCAAGCCTCCATGCAGGAGCTGCTTGCTGGCTCATCCTCCCTGGCCCGCACCGTGCAGCAGCAAAGCCCTTTGGCTCGGGTAGCTGCATCCACAGGTCCATCCTGTGCTGGGGCCAGATGGCACAGTCAGCATCACACGTATGGGCTGGTTTTTAGAGAGGTTAAGAAATTTAGCCCCTGGAGGGACAAACTCAGCATCTGTTTCACTTGTTGAACCTATTTCTGCACCGGACGTTGGCTGAGAGCGGGCTATTTTTAACCACCCCTGGGTTACTGTGCTCTTTCTGGCTGCTATCACCGGCTAGGATTGGATCTGTGTGCTCTTCACAAAACACTCACCGCTGATCCCAGACCAGATAAGCCTACAGAAAGCCAGCACCACTTCCCCTGGGCCCAGTGCCACGTGGGCACAGGCTGTCTCGCAGCAGAAATGGAAGTGACTGCTTGCTAACCGCTTCCTTTCCTCCTGAGCATCTCCCTCCCTCCTGCCTGTCCTGACGTTTGCTTCCTGTTATTGATAGCGGGCCCTGCACCCACCGAGCTGCCACTACACTCAGTGACCCCTCCAGAACACAGCCCAGGGGTGTGCAGAGCAAACCCAACCCAGCTTTGCTGGGGCAGACAGGGGGGCTCGAGCCATGCCGCTGGGTACCAAGGAGCCTCCTGCCACAGGCTGCAGTGTGCCAAGGGAGCCTGGGTGCAAGCAGCACGAGTCTGCAGGGTCTCCAGGCCTTTTGGTGCCTGTTTCACAGGGAGCTGCCTTGTCCTGAATGCTCTGGGGATGGGGAGGAGCTGGGGGGTTCCTGCTCCTCGGAGCCTCCTTCCTACACACAGAGCTCACTGATGTCAAGCAGATGCTGTGGGATAGAGCCTCCTGAGAGGACACACGTGTGTGTGTGTGTGTGTGTGTGTATGTGCTGGCCTGGGGCAAGCCACAGTTTTCTGCCCTCCTGCCCTGCAGACAGCAAGCTCCCCAGGGGAAACTGAGGCACGCCGTGTTTCCCAGGCAGCCTCGCCAACAGCACCGCTCACCCAGAGGCAGGCAGGGAAGCGCAGGACAAGCCCAAGACTCACAGATGGGTGAGATGCTGCTGTAACTGTCCCCTCTCTGCAGTCCTGGGTAACCAGGTAATCCCATGGCTCCTGCTGTGCCTCTGCTTCTCCTCCAGCACCTTGGAGATCTGGCCCCACAAGCAGGCTTAGCTCCCCTCTACCCTCACCTCTCGGCTTAGGAGCAATCCTCCATGTCATATCAAGCACCTTCACACTAGAACACCTCTCCCAGCAGAGCTGCTCCTGTGCCCATGCACCTCTCGTTAGTCCAACACCTCTGCCTCGTTGCTGGCCCCACACAGAGGGGCTGCTGGTTCATCTGCTTTGCCTCTGCCTTTCTGTTTGCAAAGTTGAAGGAAAGCTTGGCTTGTTTGCAGGAGATGCGGGAGGATGTCTGATCCCAGGAGCCAAACGTGGCTCTGCTCGGCACTCATTCAAAGAAGGGAAAATGAAACCCAATAAAGAGTTAAATTCAGGTTATAAAACATCCTTTTGGTTCCCCTTGAGGAGAGCGCAGGAGCACAGGGGCTGGTGAGATGAGCCTGGATTGAAAACGAAACAGCAATGGCTTGCTCCCAGCCGGAGCCGGCCAGCGGCAGGAGCATCCGCGGCAATGGGGAGCAAGGTCACACGTCCTCTCCCCTCTGCTCCCGGCTCTCCCTGCCCGGGATCAGCTCCATCCCAGCCGGATGCCCAGCGCTCCTGTGCAGCGCTGCTCTGCGGGCTCCGAGCTCCCGCAGCCCCGCCAGCACAGCCTGTGCGTGCCAGGCGCTTCCGACCGGGGCTGTCCTTGGGAATGCGCTGGAGGAGCGAGACGTGGTTCTCTGGGAACAGCGCTCTGCAGAGGTGCTTCGCTCGGCTCCCCGGTCCTGCCTGTCCCCAGGCCGGCGGGGCGCCGCGGAGCCCCTTGGTACCGTGCGGTAACTGCATCCCCGCAGCGGCTCTTTGGGATGCTCGGGCTCCCTGAGTGGTCCTCACGCCCTCCAGGAGCTGAGCAGGCACTTTCACCAGAGTCTGCTTAATCCCCAGGCAGCTGCTTCACCTTCAAGCCTATGAACGATGCTCGGGCAGCAGAGGAAATGGGCCAGTTTCCAAAACCCTGCACGATGTCCTGAGCTCCCAGCAGCAGCAAGACCAGCCCTTCCTGAGCGCTGGACCTAAAGGTGAGGGAGGCCATGGTGTGGTAGGCAACCTCAGGGGATTGAGACTGCGGGGCAGCATCTGTGTTTGGGTGCTACTTGGGTGCCTGCCTGGGCTGCTGTGACCTTGGGGATACGCTGCTGTTTGGAAAGGGTGAGGAGAGGTGCTGGGGTGTGTGGATCAGGCAGGGTGGCTGGGAGAGGAGGAATTTGAAGCTGGGAGCTGCTCTTTGCACAAGGGGAAGTGACTGTAAGGGTAGGTAGGGCCAGAGGATGCTCAGGGTGCAAATGACCCCATGCAAGTGGAGTTGTAAAATGCAAGTGACCAACCAGCAAGTATCAGTCAGGGATAAATCCAGATCTCCCTCCCTGAAGCACCAGCTCCACAGAGTCCCCATGTCCTGCTGGGCTTTCTGAAGATACAACCACAGCTATACAGCCCCTTCAAAACCTGCCACAGGCCTCTCCAGTCCCTACATCCCGACTCGTGATGCTCATGCACAGGTATCCACGGGCAGAGAACACGTCCCGTGCCCAGCGTGTGTCCTTCAAGAGGAGCAGGGTGGCAGCATCCTTTTCCAAGCTGGGGCACAGGGCTGGCCAGGAGCAGTGCGCACAGCTCTGTGCTCTGCAGGCCCTTTGCATGCACGGGTGGCCACCAGTGAGCAAACAGGAACATGCCCTCTGCACGTGTGGGTTCACTCAGCACCTCCAAGCGCTGCCAGGTTTTTGTGGGTGGTCTCTGGGCCATGCATGGTCTGTGCAGGTCCTCCTGCAGTCAGGCAAGTCAGGAATGAATACACTATGGTCCAGGCACTGATATGGTCCAGTACAGGTGTGCAGAGGCTGTGGCACCCTGGTACCTGCCCATAAGACATAGATGCTGGTGGGTTAGGAGAGTTTGCTCTCCAGGATAAAGCTTCTGTGCTGCTGGCCAAGCCCAGCACTTTGCTCTGGAGTTTGGGCCCTCTGATTTCCCAGCTCTTGGGTATAAAGGGGCACTGACAGGGAACATCAGTGATGATGTTCTGCATCCCCTCGCAAACCCCCAGGCGTGCACAGACAGCTCAGTGATGGGCAGTGCTGGCACCACAAATCCCAGAGACAGCTCTGGTCGCTGCAATGAGCTGTGGAGCAGCCAAGGGATGCGAGGCCCATGGTGGCTGGGGGGGATGAAGGAAGCTGAGAGGAAGGAAGCCTGCAGTGTCCCTGCACAGAGCCTGGGCAGCAACAGGAAGAGTGGCAGCGCTGCGGCAGCAGGCACTCACAGGAAGGATGTGCAGTGCCCCATGGGCAGGCCTGTCCTACCTGAGCCACAGCCTCCCCAAACACATCCCCTTCCCTGCTCTGCTGGGGTTCCCCTAAAATGCCCAAGGATGATGCTGGATGCAGAGGGGGAGTGGAGGGCACCTACCCGGGAATGGGGCAGGCAGACAGCGGGGGGGCACAAGGACCACACTGTGCACGCCAGGCAATGAGGGTGAGAGGCACCGAGCCCTGGCTTGCCCCATGGTGGAACCTGGGTAAAGGGGATACCAGGGAGACAGGGATGGGGGGACTCCAGGTTGGAAGGGGCTTGGAGCAAGCTGCTCTAGTGGAAGGGGTCCCTGCCCGTGGCAGGGGTTGGAGCTGGAGGAGCTTTAAGCTCCCTTCCAACCCAAACCAGGCTGGGGTTCTGTGATTGACCCACCCTGGCTCCCTGTGGGGCAAGTGATGCCTGGTGTCCCCAGAGCAGGGCCGGGGCCGCGCAGATGGAGCCGCGGCGCTGTGGCCGGTCCGCGTGTGGGTGACAGGGAGGGTGTGCGGAAGAGGGGAGGAAGCGGCAGAGCAGCAGCGCCTTTGATAAGCAGCTTCCTGAATCCTTTCAGACCGTGGCTGTCACTGATGCACGCGGTGCCTGTGGGCCCGGGCAGAGAGCGAGGGAGCCCCCGCCATGGGCAGCAGGTAGGCAGCACCCAGCGCGCCCGGAGAAGGGACCCCGTGGGGCAGCTCGGGGCAGGGCAGGGATGCTGGGCAGGGTGATGGGGTGCTCTCCCTGCAGCGCTGGCACTGGGGGCTCTTCCAGAGCCCTCCTGCCTGCGGGGGGCTTCTTGGCTGGGTCATGTCCTGGGTGTTTCCTGGCTGGTGGGTGAGGGATGGGGCTGCTGGGGCTGGAGCTGCTGCTGCCTCCGGTTGCATCTCCCCAGCTCTCCTAGGGAGCAGCCGTCCTTGCCCTGCCTGGCAGGGGATGCTGCAGCAGCACAGTGCCTCTAGGGCACCCTGTGTGGGGCATGTGGATGCTGTGCACGGCAGCGGCAGCCTGGCCAGCCCCCAAAAGTGCTGTGGGGCAGCAGGGAGTGATGGGGAACAGCTCCTCTCTGAGCCGCGCTCCCAAATGGCACAGCCACAGCGGGGAACCAGCAGGACCTCCCTGAGCTGATGGGGTAGCTGAGGTCCCACTGGTTCACAAGCAGGAGCTCCAACACCACAGCATCCTGTGTTGCCCTGGATCTGTTTCCTCCTCATGAAGGAATCTGGGGTTGGGAAGGAGCCTCCTGATCCCATGGTGCTGCCGGCGCCATGAGGAGCTCTGCCCAAGAGCATCACCTGCATCTCCATGTCCCTACAAGGTTCTGTCCTGGGGCTGGTGGGGCCCGGTCACCCTCCCCCAGCAGCGCTGCCCCATCGCCTCTTGCTCAACCACCCAGATAAAGCAGTTTCCTCGACAGCTGCTGAAACCTGAGGGATGGATGAGGCAGCCCCAGGGTCATCCCTCCCTTGTCAGAACCACGGGGCTGGCGAGGGGGCCTGACCCCGTGTTTCCCAACAGCAGGAGCTGGCCAGGCTCCTTGCGGTGTCTCAGCCTCCCTCATCTCACATTCCCAATGCTGCTGTGCTCATGCTCTCCCTCCTCCCCACCAGCCCACAGCAGGCACGTGGGAAGCAGTGTGCGCATCCCATGGACGTGGAGAGCATCTTGGACCCCCCCCAAAACCAGTGCACGGGGCCTGGGTGTCCTCCACTTGGTGCAAGCAGATGCCATGCCCAGTGGGTGCCCCTGCGGTCTGCAGTGCTGTGAGCATCCCAGAGAGTGAACACGCTGGGATCTCTCCCTGTGCCACCCTCCCGCATGCAGGGGTCCTGGTTTTGGGGTGATCGGTGACATGCTTAGGGACCATCTGTCGGGGGGGGTCCCCAGCATCACGGTATCCTTCAGATCTGCCTTTTCTTTTGCAGCCGCTTCCCCTCCGACGGCTGAGGGCCCCGTGCATCCGCTCCCTGCGCTTCAGGACCAGGGCTTCGTGGCTGCCGCAGCATGGTACAATCCTGCCTGGTGTGTTCCAGAGCTCCTAGCTGCAGTGTGACCATGCGGGCAGCCGGGACAGCCATGGACAAGGACAAGGACAAGGACAAGCCCAGTACCCCTGCCAAGAAGCACGTGCGCCTGCAGGAGAGGTGAGAGGCTGCAGCCTGACCCCTGCCTGCCCGCTCAGCACAGGGACCCACGGCGCTGCTCACCCCCACAGCTTGGGCCTGCCCAGGCTTCCCTACCCCAGCCCATCCCTGCCTCCTGCTGCCCCCCCGCTTGTGCAGATGCCAGCAAAGGGTGAAATGCCCCAGCTTGTTCCTTGTTCCTGCATCTTCCGGGCTCTCTGCCTTATCATAGAATCATAGAATCACAGAATGGTTTGGGTTGGAAAGGACCTTAAGCTCATCCAGTTCCAACCCCCTGCCATGGGCAGGGACACCTCACACTAAACCATGGCACCCAAGGCTCTGTCCAACCTGGCCTTGAACACTGCCAGGGATGGAGCATTCACACCTTCCCTGGGCAACCCATTCAGTGCCTCAGCACCCTCACAGTAAAGAACTTCTTCTTTAGATCCAATCTAAACTTCCCCTGTTTCAGTTTGAACCCGTTACCCCTTGTCCTGTCACTGCAGTCCCTAATGAAGAGTCCCTCCCCAGCATCCTTGCAGCCCCCTTCAGACACTGGAAGCTGCTCTGAGGTCTCCACGCAGCTTCTCTTCTCCAGGCTGAACAGCCCCAACTTTCTCAGCCTGTCTTCATACAGGAGCTGCTCCAGCCCCTGCTCATCCTCGTGGCCTCCTCGGGCTTTGTTCCAACAGTTCCATGTCCTTTTTATGTTGAGGACCCCAGAACTGCACACAGTGCTGCAAGTGAGGCCTCAAGAGAGCAGAGTGGAGGGGCAGGATCACCTCCATGACCTGCTGGTCACGCTCCTTTTGATGTAGCCCAGGATACGGTTGGCTTTCTGGGCTTCATCCTCTCTTATTCTCTGCCTGGCTTTTGCTCAGTGTGGGGTGACTCTGATGGCGTGGCAGGATGTGGTGCAGAGGCTCAGCCAGGGACCCCTTTGCCCTACAGGAGGGGCTCCAACATGTCGCTGATGCTGGACATGAGCCTGCTGGGGAGCGTGGAGCCCATCCAGCCCGTCTGCACGCCGCGGGACATCACCCTGCAGTTCCTGAGGACATCCAGCCACGTGCTGCGGACAGAGGAGCTCCAGCAGCGCACCCAGAGCCTGACACAGCTCCAGGAGGAGTTTGCGGTGCGATGCTCCCCTCCTCTCCCCTTCCTCACAGGAGGCACGGCAGAGGCTGGCAGCGATGGGGCTGGCAGGGGGGACATCACCAAGGGAGGCCCGAGAAGGGGATGTGGGCAAACAGAGGTGAGGGGGACCTTGGGCATTCCCTGCCTGCCCACTCCCTGGTGCACCCAAGTCCTGTTTGTGCCCCTGTGCTGAGATCCCAAACCAGGCCCTCTTTAGGGTGTCCCCCACATCTGGGGTAAGGACAGGGCTCATCTCAGGAGCTGGGACACCGTTCGGTCCCTGGGTTAGCCTTGTGTTTGTAAGGGACCAGCTCTGCCCCCACAAGCAGCAGCAATGGGGTTTCCTCTTCATTGTGCTCTCCCCTTGCAGAAAATCCCACCCAACTTTGTGAGTCCGGAGGAGCTGGAGATCCCTGGCCGTGCCTCCAAGGACAGATACAAAACCATCCTCCCCAGTAAGTGCTGCTGCATCCCTTTACCTCCCATTGGAAAGGTGGTGGTGGTGGTGGTGCATCCCTGGGTGCTTGTGCAGAGCAGGGGTGCACCGTGCGTTGTGGGGAGCTGCTCCCTGGGTTGTATTCCCAGGGATGGTCCCTGCCATGTGCCAATGGGATGTAAAGGCTGAGAACGTTACAGGAGGGCTCCTTTGGGCTCTGCTTGGCCCTGGGAGTCATTGCCCGGCAGCTGAGTTACCCCACATCCCGCTGCGGTACAGGGCATGGCTGGCTGCACCCTGCCATGGCAGTGAGGGTGAAGTGGGGCAAGAAGGGGCTTGAGGGAGGGTGCAGACAGCTCTGAGCTGGAGGATGGACAGGGTCAGGGTCCTGAGGTGCTGCCTTCTGCGTCTTGTAGATCCTGAGAGCCGGGTCTGCCTCCGGAGGGCAGGGAAGCAGGAGGAAAGCAGCTACATAAATGCCAACTACATCACGGTGAGCGCCCTGCCTGCTCGGACAGCGGTGGTCCCCCGGGTGCTGCCGCACGCAGCATCACGAGGCATCAGGCTGCAGACCCTTCGGTGCACAGTGCCACCCTGGGGCACACGCTGTGCCCACCACTGGGCTGGCGGCCACAGGACTGGTGGGACCCAGCTGGGACTATCCCAGGTCCCAGCCAGAGCAGGGCTGGATGGGCTCTGCTTGTCCTTGGGGGAATGCCTGCAGTGAGGATGCTGCTCCCTGCGTTTCTGCCTCACCAGGGTGTCCATCACCCTGGGTGTCATCACCCCAGCAACCTGGGGATGCTTGCAAGGAGCTTGGATGCGCAGGGCTTGCTTCATGGGCTCGCTCCTGGATTGTGGGACCAGGAGGATGGAGAGGACGTGCGGTGGTTTCTGATCGGGTCTATAAAAGCATTTCAAGGACAGGTTTGGCAGGAAACGGCCTGTGTGGCTCAGTCTGTAGAGGAAGAAAAGCACCATGAGGGCTGGAGCGGCTTGGAGACAGGATCCCCACACATCAGGGTCCCCCTGCACCATCACCGATGGACCATGTGCTTGGCAGGGCTATGCAGGACGGCCCCGGGAGTACATTGCCACGCAGGGACCCATGCTGAACACTGTGAGCGACTTCTGGGAGATGGTGTGGCAGGAGGAGGTGCCCCTCATCATCAAGATAACCGAGCTCCAGGAGCACAAGGAGGTATCGCTGCCCCTCCCCAGCCAGAAGCCAAGGGTGCTGTGGGGTGATGACAACAACAGAGGGTCCTGCAAGACCAAGGGGGGGTCTGAGCAGGTTCTCTCCCCTCACACATGGAGGTGGAGAACCCCAGGGCTGCAGCCTTGGCCCCCCTCCTCCTCACGTGCCCTGGGCATGCTTTGCCAGCGGGATAACAGGATAAAGAGCCTGGGGCAACCCCTGGGAGAGGGAGGGGAAGCAGCAGACAGCAGCGTCCCTCCAGTCCTGAGCTGCTCTGCTTCTGGGCTGGGAGCTCCCAGGCAGTGGATCCGGGCTGGGATGGGAGCTGGCAGCACCCTGAACCCTGGCTCTGTCCAAGCAGCACCTGCATGGGGCGGGGGGTTCCCCCTCTCTGTCCCCTCCCTCCCAGCCTGGCAGAGCATCCCGGTGTCCCCCCCCGCAGGCTGGGTGCCTCGGGCATCAACACGGCCCAAATCCTGCCCTGTTCTTCCAGAAATGTGTCCACTACTGGCCCCAGAAGGAGGGCACCTACGGCCCCTTCACCATCCGTGTGCAGGGGGTGAGCGACTGCGCGGAGTACGTGGTGCGGGATCTCTCCATCCAGGTGGGTTCGAGCTGCATCCTGGGGGCGGAGGGGGAGCCTAGCAGGGTCTGGCAGTGCCCGCAGCATCCCCAGGCTCCCTGGCAGGAGGGCACTGCTGTGGGAGCAGAGCACAGGGCTCACGGCTCTGAGAGCTGGCTCTTAGGAGCCCCAGGCAGAGGAGGGGTCTGCAGAGCCCCTGCCTGCCCAAGGAGGTCTCTCCTGGGTGAATGGCAGAGGCTCAAAGAGGGATTCAGAGGAAAAGAGATGGATGCAGTCTGCCCGGCTTGGGCTGCTCCCACATCCTCATTTCTCTTTCTTCCATGCTGGGAAAGCTCGAAGGTGAATGCCGCCAGGTCAAGCACATCCTCTTCCCTTCCTGGCCGGACCAGCAGACGCCTGGGTCAGCCAAGCCCTTGCTGCACTTGGTGTCCAAGGTGGAGGAGACTCTGCAGGCTGCAGCCAGCCCAGGACCCATCGTTGTGCACTGCAGGTAAGAGCTCTCCCCTCACCCAAGCCCCTGGGTGCTCCCCGCCTTGGGGTCGGCCTGCAAATGCAGGAGGGGACCTGATCCCGCTGTGCTGCAGGGGTCCCAGGATGCAGCATCCCCACAGCAGAGCCATTCAACCTGCAACGGCAGCAAACCAAGCCAGGGGCATGTTCAGCTCAGACAAAGGATCCTGTGGGTGCTGAGCACAGCTCTGTGTGTCCCGCAGCGCAGGCATCGGGCGGACGGGCTGCTTCATCGCAACCAGGATCGGGTGCCAGCAGCTGAAGGACAAGGGGGAGGTGGATATCCTGGGAATCGTGTGCCGTCTCCGCATGGACAGGTGGGGGCTCGGAGCAGGGGCCTGCTGGGTACCCAGCCTGGGAGGAGGGATGTGGGGATGGACATCACCAGGGGGCACGGGGATGGGTTTTGATGGAAACCAGAAGGGTTGCTGAGGGATGCAGATGGGTCAATAGCAAACGATTCCCCAGTGCCGGGCTGGTTTTCCTATCGGGGCTGTTGCAGCTCTGGGGAGCTGAGGACATGAGGGAGAGGAGAGCAGCTCTGAGCCTGGCAGCCAAGTCTGCTCCTTCCAGCTCAGCCACTGCATCCAGAAACACTTGCTTTGCCCCTTTTCACTGGTAAAAATCAGAGCCAAATCAGTTGCTGATCTGCATTGTGCACAGCCCGGTGCTGCTGCTGAGCCTGAACGCTCTTCAGACAGCTCTGGTGCCTATTCCAGAGGTAGCTGGACATGGTGGGTGAAGCAGGAATGTTTGTGCCCTGGAAGCAGGGAGCCAGGGATGGGGCTGTGGGCTCTGGGAGGTGTCAGTGGGACCTGCCTTTCCCTTGCAGAGGCGGGATGATCCAGACGAGCGAGCAGTACCAGTTCCTCCATCACACACTGGCTCTCTACGCTTCCCAGCTGCTGGAGGCGGGATGCTGCTAGCTCCCACCGGAGCAGCAGCAGGAGCATCCCTCAGGATGAGCAAACCCGTGGGGACTCTGTGGCCCTGGGGACGAGCAAGGCTCGACAGGTCCACCTGAGGGATTCCGTGGGTGCTTGAGGTGCCCGTTGCTGCTGGCTCAAGGCAGATTTCACCTATGGAAAAAGGCTTTGGCTTTCGAAAGGAGCAACGGGAGCCTCCCCAAGCAGTGCAGAGGAGCTGAAGCCGGATGAGCACTGGGAGCACTGTTTGCCTTTTAGCTCCATGGGGATGCTCTCCCCGTGAGACCCAGAGCTGGCAGAATCACCCTGCAAATAACCCGAGCATCACCTGTGGGCAGTGCTGGGCTTGCTCCAAACACGCACTGCGATGCTCTTCTTACTAAAGACACCCCTTGATGATGTGGCACAAGAGGGCTGCAGTTGGTTGCTTTCATGACAAGGCTTGCTTTCCTCTCCACCTTCAGCCAACACCTTCTCAACAGCCTTAAAGTAGGGGAGGTTCCTACGTGCATCTTCAACTCCACAAGTGATGCATACCCGATCGCCTTCTGTTACACAGGGAGGAGGGTTTGAATGGTTGGGGCTGAAATCGGAGCAAAATATTTGGGTTTTGTGGTTTTTTTTCACTGATAAATTCAATGGGGAGGGGGAAGGAAGAAGAGGAACATTTTGGCACAAAGCATAGAGATGGAACTAGTCTGTAAAACACATCAAAGCCATTCAAGCCTGGCCTTCAGCTGAGGGATGCTGCACACCCTCCGGGGCAACGACTGACAAGGAGCTGGGGGTTGCCTGCACTGCACCTGCCGGTGCCCACGAGCCCTGACGTGACCCACTCAGTGAATGAGATGAAGGGAAAAAAGGGTCAATCTTATTGCTGAGAGAGCCTGAGCTTGCCCCAAGCATCCCCAGGTCAGGGCTGTGTGCATGGACCCCCCTCCACCACACTGTGGGTACCCGAGATGCACTTGAGTGGCTGCCCAAGTGTGCAAGTGAGCCTTGTCCAGGGATGGGTCCTGAGCCAAAGGCAGCTGCTTCTCCCTGTTCTCACTGGCCTTAAGCAGCAAGCCCAGTGGCAGACCAAGCACTGTGCAAAAACATCCAGTATTACAGTAATTATAATGTATTGCTGAGCCCTGGTAGTCCCTATCAGTCATTCCCATGTGTCTTGCAGACTCTCTGGATAGAGGACTTGCCAGGGCACTATAAAATAAAGCCGTGTTAAGCATCTGATTGCTGCAAGGAGTGGATGGAAGAGTGATGGATAGCGAGAACCCCTCTGCTAGCACAGCCCATCACCAGGAACAGACCCGCTCCCTGCCCTGCAGAAGGAAAAACCCCACATCTGAACTCATGTCCTTCCCCATTCAGCATCTGGATCTCCCTGGCGCATCGATCTCCCCACCTCCTCATGCCCAATGCCAGGTCAACCCTTCCTCGTGCCACTGAGCATGGCTTCATTCAGCTTGCCCACAGCATCCTCCTCCCCACGTCGCCATCAGGCAGGGGAACCTGAGCCTGCAAACTGCACCAAGGCCCAGCCTTTCCCTATGCTCCCTGCCCAGCAGGACAGGCACCATTTCTCTCACGCTTGTGGTTTATTCTCAAGAGGAGAGATGTTAGGGCAGCAAGAGCTGTGTGAGGGTCTCTGAAGGAGCCCACGGGAGCATCTTTGGGGCTGGCAGCCAGGCAGGGGTGTTGCTCCCCCCCATTGATTCTGATGGGGCTTGCTCCCCATTAGCTCTCTCTGATGCAGGTGATGATCAGTTAAGCAGTTTTGCTGTCCAGTCTCCATTTCTATCAGGCCATTACCACTGCACTATCCCCATCAGCCCTCTCTGATGCAGGTGATGATCAGTTAAGCAGTTTTGCTGTCTTTCAATCTCCATTTCTATCAGGCCATTACCACTGCACTATCTCAGTACCTCTCCACCCTCTCTGTATTGATTTCCCAAGCATTCCTCAGGGCTATGCTGAGCGATTGCCTGCGTTATTGCAAAACCCCATCCCGGGGTTCGCTCGGGGAAGCAGGGTGTTCGGGCTGGGCTGTGTCAGTCCTGGGAAGCTGCTTCACCCTCTCCACAAAGACCACGGGGTGGCCAGCAGGCAAAGGAGGGGAATCCCTCCAAACGTCCTGCCTCTCCCCACATCTTGGCCAGGGGGTTCAGCAGGGTCAAGGCTGCTCCTGTTCCTCATTCTTCTCCCTTAAAAGCGTGCTATCGACCCCCAAGGTTTTTCCTTCCCATGGTGTTTCTGAGCCTTGCTGGGGATGCAGCCCAGACAAGCAGGTAGGGAGCTCCAGTACTGGGAGCCCTGGCCAGCAGACCCCCAGGAGGTCAGATCCTGCCCAGGGTTCACGAAACCTTTCTCCACATGACTCTGATTTTGGCCTGGGGCTTCCCAGGCTGCTACTGCATTTCCTACCCTTGTGACGAGTCCCCAGGCTGGAGGTTGACCGGGATTCAGGTTCTTTAAGGAACTTGGTTGAGCAACCACATCGAAACGTGCTGGGAATGTAAAACATGCTCTTGTCTCGAGAGGTCCTGGAGCGGTCCATGGAGACCATGCAGTAAAACGTGTGCTATCAAGAGGTAATCTCTGCTACCAACTTGAATGCCACAGGTGTGTTGGGAGGGAGGCCCTGCTCTGGTGTGGGCCATTCCCTGGGCTGGAATCTGTTGCGTTTTCTTTAGAGAAACCCCATCTTCAGACAGAATTACCCACAGGAATTGGGCAATGATGAGGTTTTCGCTGGCACAAAGAGGAGTTACAATGGACTCATCACCAAAAGCAATGATACTCCTGCTTCCTTAGGCCTACCTTTGCGAGCATGGGGGTCTTTAGCAGGCTGCAGCATCTCTGTGAGCAAAATGGGTTCTGTCTCCAAAACCAAAGGCAGCTTCCCAGTGACTTACAGCATGTGATGGAAACTCTTTCCCACCATCAGTTGTCACGGGCTCTGAGATACCCACTGCGAGGCACACCCAGCCACAGCTCAGTTTCTGTTTTCTATGCATACATTTGCCTCAGGCAGCCCCAGCAGTGCATTCAGCATCCTGCTCTCTTGCGGGAGCACCAACGACCTCCTCCACCACCTCAGCACCCTCACAGGGAAGAGCTTCTGCCCAAGGGCTCATCTCAGTCTCCCCTCTGGCAGGTTAAGTGCCCCCCGTGTGTCAGCCCTCACTTTAGGACTGGTTCAGATCCAGCCTGGATGTGACTGAGCCCTGTCAGTATTGCACAGCTGGGCTATGGTCTGCCCTGGGCACTCAGCATCAGTGTGGAAGCACAAAGCAGATTGAAAGCAGAGCCTGCACATGTACCTAAGGTGCAGGAGCAGTTCAGTATCCCCTTGCAGCCCAGCAGAGCTTAGCTGGGTGAAAATGAGGGTGTTTTGAGGCTGCAGGGCCCAGCCTGGTCCCTATAGGGTGGTGTTGCAGCAGGGTATATAAACGTCTCACAGACAGTTTGGTGCCTTTGGGTTGTGCCTCATTCTGCGCATGGAAAATTGCTCCTCAGCTCTTGTGACATTGAGGTCCCCCTCATGCACGGAGAGCTGGGGACCAGGGGAGCAGATGTGTAAGGGTGCAGGAAGGATGGAGGAGCTGTGCTGGGTGCTGCAGAGGTGCTGCTCCAGCATGCGGGATCGGTGCCAGCCACAGCAGGGTGCTGGGCACTGCTGCCATAGGGTGAAGGGGGTGTGGGTGTGCTGAGCGCAGAGGCGCTGGTGCAGAACTGATGCTGGGTGCTGGGGGCATAGGGGGCTGGGTATAGGGGAAATGGGGTGCAGGGGTGCAAGGGTGCTGGGGGCAATGGGGTGCTGGGTGGGGGATGTCGCATGGTACAGGGATAACAGTGCATGCTGCAGGGGTCCAGTGGTGCTGGGGCACTTGAGTGCAGGGGATGCTGGGGTGCAGGAGTGCTGGAGTTGCTGGGTGCAAGGGTGCTGGATAGAGGGGTGCCGGGTGCAGGGGTGCTGGATGCTGGGGTTGCTGGATGTAGGAGTGCCAGATGCTGGGGTTGTCGGGTGCAGAGGTGCTGGATGCAAGGTGCAGGATGCAAGGGTGCTGGATGCAGGGGTGCTGGGTGCTGGATGTAAGGGTGACGGGTGCCGGGGTTCCTGGATGTAGGAATGCTGGATGCAGGATTGCTGGGTGCAGAGGTGCAGGATGCAGGGGTGCTGATGCAGAGGTGCAGGATGCAGGGGTGCTGGATGCAGGGGTGCTGGGTGTAGGGTGCTGGATGTAGGTGTGCTGGATGCAGGGGTGTAGGATGCAGGGGTGCTGGGTGTAGGGGTGCAGGATGCAGGTGTGCTGGGTGTAGGGTGCTGGATGTAGGGATGCAGGGGTGCAGGATGCAGGGGTTCTGGGTGTAGGGTGCTGGATGTAGGGATGCAGGGGTGCTGGATGCAGGGGTGCTGGATGTAGGGATGCAGGGGTGCAGGATGCAGGGGTGCTGGGTGTAGGGATGCAGGATGCAGGGGTGCAGGATGCAGGGGTGCTGGTTGTAGGGGTGCTGGATGTAGTGATGCAGGATGCAGGGGTGCTGGATGTAGGGGTGCTGGATGTAGTGATGCAGGATGCAGGGGTGCTGGATGTAGGGGTGCTGGATGTAGTGATGCAGGATGTAGGGGTGCAGGATGCAGGGGTACCGGGCGCTGGCGGTAGCGGCCCGCTCCATCCCGCCCCGGCAGGCGCAGCGGAGCGCCGCGTGCTGCGGGTCCTCCCATCCGGCAGGGGGCGGCAGAGTGCGGGAGGGCTGCGGGCGGCGCGCGGGGCCCCACCCGGCGCGCGGCGGTGCGGCAGGAGGGCGCGCGGACAATACCGGGGCGGCGGCGGCGGCGGCTCGGCCTCGATCGGCTCGGCCCGGACCCGCTCGGCTCCACTCGGCTCCGCTCGGCCCCGCCCCGCCCCGGCTCGGCCCCGCTCGGCTCGGCTCGGCTCGGCTCGGCCCGGCCCGGCCCGGCAGGATGCTGGCGCTCTTCAACAAGCTGCTGGACTGGTTCCGGGCGCTCTTCTGGAAGGAGGAGATGGAGCTGACGCTGGTGGGGCTGCAGTACTCGGGCAAGACCACCTTCGTCAACGTGATCGCGGTGAGCGCCGCGCCCCTCCCCCACCATGGCCAGCGCCCAGCCCCCCCCCGCGCGGTGCTCACCCCAATGGACCCCAATCTCTGCCCCACCCCCACCCCCCCGTAGCATCCTCCCCGTCTCCCCTCCCCCGCATTGTGACCCCTGCTCGTTGCACCCCCTCCATCGAGGTACGTCGTCGTCGTTCACCCCCCCATCCCCCATCGCTGCACCCAACCCTCGCTGTGCCCCTTGGAATTGCGCTGCTCGGGTGCATCCCAGCCCCGAAATGCATTTGTCAGATGTGGGGTGCACGATGCAGTGGGTGCAGGCAGTGGGGTGCAGGCAGTGGTGCAGGTGTGGGGTGCAGGCAGTAGGGTGTAGGGAATGGGGTGCAGGTGTGGAGTGCAGGCAGTGCTGCAGGTGTGGGGTGCAGGCAGCGGTGCAGGTGTGGGGTGAAGGCAGTGGGGTGCAGGCTGTGGGGTGCAGGCAGTGGTGCAGCTGTGGGGTGCAGGCAGTGGGGTGCAGGCAGTGGGGTGCAGGCTGTGGTGCAGGTATGGGGTGAAGGCAGTGGGGTGCAGGCTGTGGGGTGCAGGCAGTGTGGTGCAGGTATGGGGTGCAGGCAGTGGTGCAGGTATGGGGTGAAGGCAGTGGGGTGCAGGCAGTGGTGCAGGTGTGGGGTGCAGGCTGTGGTGCAGGTGTGGGGTGAAGGCAGTGGGGTGCAGGCAGTGGTGCAGGTGTGGGGTGCAGGCTGTGGTGCAGGTGTGGGGTGACGGCAGTGGGGTGCAGGGTGCACCCCCAGTAGGTCCCAGCTTTTGCTCCCGCATCCCTGGTGCTGAGCGCGGCGGCTCCGGGGCCGCAGCTGTAGCAGGCCCTAGGGGAGGATCCCAGCATCCCCCTGCCCCTCGCGGGTCCTGGGGCCGTGGC